CAGCACACTCCCCACCAGGGCTCCTGTGTCCAAATCTGCAGCAGCTCACCAGACCATGAGCACTTGAGAACCTGAGGTCACTGGGCCAATGGCCAGTGTCCCACGTCCCTGACTCTTGAGCCCTGGCAAACAAAGGCGGCGGAAGGCCAACTTCCAAGGAACTGACAGAGTTCTATTTATGCCTCGCTCGGGGAGAAGGGAATAAACTCAAAACACTGCCAGAGGGCTGAGCGGTTCCCAGCAATCAGCAAGGCAGCAGGGCTGTGGGGAAGGCAAGTGTCACTTCCAGCCTGGGCTGCACCTGTCCCAGAACAGAATGCCAACCATGTGAATGCTCAATTAATGTTTGCTTTTTAATAAGCACGTTCTTCTCAGCCTTGGACATACTCACACATGCTCAAATGCAGCCATTTCAAATGGATATTAATGTTGCCCCATCTTTTGCATGTTGTCTGGATCCAAAGTTGGGCTCCTTTTTTCCTTTTCTGCTGCTGTCCTGTGGCACACCCATATGACAAGAGTCAGAGTGTGCCCATAGGGAAGGGCTGTCAGTGCTGGGGACCTGACACTGAAGACCGGGCAGCAGCATTGGCCCAAGGCTTCATGCAGGCTGGGGAAAGGGAGGGCATCACTCAGGGCTGCTGGGCTCTGTGCCCTTCCACCCCAGCCCAGCTGCCCTGCAGCACATCCAGCACCAGTGACAACCAAATCCCCGTTTGAGAGCCACAACCCCAAACCTTCTGCCTTCTCCAGTGTAAAGACTTACTGGTGGCCAATTCCAGCTTCCCCAGTGGGGGCCGAGGAGAGGGATCTGTCTGAGTGTGCCTTGCAGGGCACCTCTCCAAGTGGTCAGCCCCTTGGTGCCCCTCCACGGTGGCATGTGACCCATACAGTTCACAGTCCAGGACAGCATTGGCCTGGGAATCTGGGGTTCTGCAGGTGCGCCACAGGGAGGGAAGCCATGCTCCTCCTGGGGGCAGAACTGGGACCAGGGGCTACCGTGACAGGAAAGTGTCGCTCTCTGCTCCACTTGAAGGCCTGACAGAAGCTTGTCAGCATCACCCAGGACCTGGAGACTGAGCCAATGGCCAGCCCCAGGCCTTCCTGTCAGTCTGTGGGAAGCCCCAGGAAACCAGGGTGGATGGACAGAGCCACTGGGGAGGCGAGCGCGGGGTTGGGGGTGTAGGATTTGCTGGGGAAGTCAGTAAGCAGACTTCACATCTTGGAAAATGAAGCAGCAGGTGTGGGCCCCTGCGAATGTAGGTTATGGCTACCATTAAGGACTACATCCATCCTCCCCCTACAAAACACGCAGGTCTTCACAGGCCCCTGTCCCCAGGGTCTCTGGCCACCACCACTGTACACCACGGATGACAGGCTCCTGGTTTCCCCACTGAGTGTGCAACAAGGAAGCCCCAGGCTGGGCCACTGGGACTGGGAGCGGCTGGGACTCTGCACCACGTGTGGGTAGGTAATTAATGAATGGTCTTTCAAGATCGCTCAGCATGGGTCCCAGCGAGGAGGTGGCCTGTGAAAAGGGTCTCCTCTGCAGCTCATTACAGCCACGGGATCGATTCTTCCATCATTATCAGAAGGCCTTCCTGCCATGTGAAATCCTGCCCCTTGAAGTGTATTCACCGGGGACGCTTCCCCATCTCGGCAAGCGCTCCTGGCCGCTAACAACCTTCCACCGGCTTTTTGAAAGTGCCAAACTTTTCAGAGAAGTAAAATGTATAGCACCTGCTCCATTCATCCCTCAAGAAAGAGCAACCCTATATACACATGCACACACACACCCCTAAAAAGCGCAAAGAAACAAACCAGAACTGTGCTGAATGTGGACGCCACATCAAAGCGTGCTTCTAAAATTCAGCCACTTGCAAGAGAGAGAAACTTTCTCTGAGTCCTTTTCTTGAACAACCTTGGGGGTGTGGGGGTCAGTTTGTTTTGTCTGTTGTCTCCTCTTAGCGGCAAAAGGATAAGTTTCGGGCTCAGCCAAGAACCGGCTGGGTTCTGGAAAATTCCACAACCCACTTTCCTCCCACAGGCTTCCCCTCATTCAGAGCCTGGAAAAAATGTGAATTCCTCACTTAAATTCCCCCAGTGGCCTCGTTCCGCAGTCACCCCCATATTTGGCAGACACTCTTGGCTCCCAGTAACCCCCGTTGCATCTGCCCGGCTCAGCGTTAGCCTTCTCAGGCTCCGGCTCTCTGTCTCCACCCGTCTCTCCGCAGCCGAGTCTCTGACTCCACACCTCATGTCCGGCCCCCTGCCTGCGCGGGCACCTACTTCCCAGCTATGTTTCGCCCTCTTTCAGGCTTAATGAACACCATACACCCAGCCGCTGTCCCTGCTCACGCTGTCCTTCCTTCGCCCCCAGGCCTCTGGACCCTGGAGTACAAGCGCGAGCTCACCACGCCCCTGTGCATCGCGGCGGCCCACGGCCACACGGCCTGCGTAAGGCACCTGCTCGACCATGGCGCGGACCCCGACGCCAGTCCCGGCGGCCGCGGCGCCCTGCACGAGGCCTGCCTCGGGGCCCACACGGCCTGCGCCCAACTGCTCCTGCAGCACCGCGCCGACCCCGACCTGCTCAGCGCCGACGGCCTGACGCCGCTGCACCTCTGCCGCACGGCCGCCTCGCTCGGGTAAGCGCCGTCCCCGGCCTGGCCACCCCCGGCCCGCCGCCCTCGCCAGACCCCACCAGACGGAACCCGTCTCGCCTCTGCTCCCATCCCTGCCTCTGGTCCTGGCCCTAGACCTTCCCGGGCCAGGATCCGCCTCTGTCCCTGCCCCGGCCCCTGCGTCGGACCCAGACCCAGACCCCGGCGGCACAGCTCGGCGCGTACCGGACCCTCCCCGGCCCGCGCCCCCGGCCCGGCCGTAATTAGAGCCTGATTCGACGCGAGGGGGGCGGCGCCACGCCGCGGTAATGAGCGCGCTGATCAGGGCGCGCCCGGCGCTGGGGAATGCTAAAAGGCCGCTGGCGGGGTTGCAGGCTGAAAAATTAGGGTTTTTAATGATAATATTATGCAGAATAATAGTCACAGTGTGACATAAATGGTCGCTCCCAGGGCGGAGGCTTCCAGGCCCGCACGGAAGCGGAGCCGCGCGGCCTCTTCTGGACCCGGAGCGCCCGGGCGCGGGGCCTGCAGGGCGCGTCGCTTTGCCGGAGAGCGGCCTCCTGGCGGCCCCGTGTCACCGCGCAGGATTGGTGTTTGGGCTTCTTAGCTTGCACTGTGGCATCCTGACATTTCTTTTAGTTTACAGTCCCTGCTTGGCTGTAGAGGGCAGAGGTAGAACTCTGGTGAGGATGAAATAAAATCACCC